GGGAAAGAGAGACATTTAGATTTTAGGCGAGTAATTACTTTTTTATACTTATGAAATTGATGTTTTATCAAATAAGACTTGCATTAGTGCTTCCGATATCTATTTTTATAATTATATGCATGTTGTAAATTAAATGAATCGTTGAAATAAATGAAATGAAATGATAACAATAGCAAATTATTATTCAATAACTTTAAAAGGAGGTAATTAAAGGAAATGAAATGTAATGACATAAGTTATTAAGGATTACCCTTAGATAATGCTGGTAAGAGATAAGATGTACCCGTGCACGAAAAATAAAATAGAAATGAAAATGATGAAAGTATACCTTATGGTGTAAAATTTTGAGGACAACTTAGAGTATGACGGTAATTCTGATATGACTTAAAATATGTTAAAATTATAAATATTTAAATTAAAACAGGAATTAAGTCAAAAATAAAAGTTTACAGTTTGATTTATCGGATTTATCGATAAATTCTATTTTATTGAGGCATTCATGTATAGTATTGGCATATTAATCTAATACATATAAAATTATAATTGTTCACTAAGTGGTGTAACTTATTCTTAAAAATTAATGGGTGTTTTCATGAAAATATTAGATTGATAGATTAACATGCGAGAGATGATATACAGGAAAATGACTACCGTTAATATGTAATATGTTGTGTATTATGATTGTAGTTATTGTACTTTTTACTTCGGAGTAGTGACATACTGTTTTGTGTTAGTTTGAGATGTTATTTTACTTGCAGATTATGTTGTTATTTCTCAATAATTTGATTTTCTCTGTAGTATATATTTTGGTTTCTTAGTGCCATTTTTATAAATTAAATTTTTTTGATAATCTATAGAAAATAAATGAAATATTAATTACACCATCCGACTACTTGTTTTCGCCTTGGTTAATTCTAAATTCTGGGTCGAGTCGTGACAAAAGTGGTATCAGATGATTTATATTTCAATTTTGATAAAAAAGAATTATTAGATTGATTGAATTAACTGATAGACAATATAAATGATTGATTAAATTGTGTTTAATTATATTCTTTGTTATGTTATTTCAGAAATATCGATAATCCAGAGGAATTTAGTCATAATAACACTGAGACTGATACACCTCCGAATGCCTCAGTAAACATAGATATTTTTGCTGAGATGATGACTGCAGTAACTCAAATGCTCAGGAACTCTAAGTCTTAGACTAGTTCTAGTGAGGGAGACCAAATGACCAAATATTTAAAACTGATTCAGGATATAAGACCACCTTTATTTTATGGAGGAGAAAGTCTTGTGGATGTTGAGAATTGGCTATTGAAAGTAGATAAGATTATTGACGAGTTTTCTTGTTCTCTAGATAGAAGGGTTACACTTGCCACCATTGTCTTTGAAGGAGAAGCTCAGAGATGATGACGAGGAAAGTTGCAGGAGAAGTTTGGAGATAGAACCAATCAATTGGTTCAACGGGAGAAAGTTGTGAAAAACTTTAGAAACTGGTTCGTATCACTGTCAGCCAGAGATAGATGCATGAAAAATTTATCAGGCTAGTGTAGGGTGACCGTTCAATAATGCAGCACGATGCAAAATTCACTATCTTTTCTAGGTATGCACTCAAGTTGATTCCAAAGCTGAGGAGAAGTGTCCTAGGTTTTTGTCTGATCTAAAGGATATAATTAGAAAGCCACTGATTCCACTGATTCCTATTGGAATCAATGGCTACTCTGTTTTGGTGGAGAGGGTCAGGAGGATTAAGCTGGATTTACTACTACTCGGAGGAAAACTTTCAGAAGAAGAGGAATTCAAAGCGATCTATGTTCCCTCAGGGCTCTCAATATAGGTAATTCTTTCAGTAAAAAAATATATGTGCTAAGAAGGCCAAATCCAACACTGTTGACCGCCATAATGAAGTTAGGAAGTGTGATATGTGTGGAAGATCTCACAAGGGTGAGTTGCTTTCTGGATCAAACACATGTTTTTGCTGCCAACAACCAAGACATGGTGAGGAATTACCTTAGCTTGGGACAGAGGGTTCCAGCAAATTCTAGGTGTAGTGTTGCACCACCTCAGATAAGCTTTGGCAGGCCAAGGGAAATCAAGTCTACTAAATCAGTGTCATTTCAATGTCAAATTCAATGTAATATTCAACCCAGGATTTATGCACTTTCATAGTAGAAAGTTAATGATTCCCCTAAAGTTATCACATCTATGTTTTACATTTAAAAATTTTTAACCCTTAAATTATAATAGAGTTCATTTCATGTCTTGTCATTCATAACATCATGTAAGAACTCAAATACATTAATAAGTCAACCCTAAATGCGCAATGCAATGTTTTTAATGTAATATATATCATATATCTTCAGAATAAGCCAATAAGAATATTTTTTGGTATAGAAGCATCACATTCTTTTGTAGCTGTGGAATTAGTTTAAGCAATGCCATTAAATAGTACCTTAATGTCTGTGAAATTATCTGTTAGAATGTCAAATGATATTTTTATGGAGGTTAATCAATTGTATGAGGTGAAACTAAAGATTGGTGGGAATGATTTTGATGCACGACTAATTGTGATACCCTTGGTGGAGTTTGAAGCAATTTTAGGATTATATTGGTTGTCTAAAAATTTTATCATAATTGATTGCAATAAAAAGGTTATTAAAATAAATATACTTGGGGATACAAAAATTATATTTTGTGGAGATAGAGGGTTGGAATATATGATAAAAATTTAAAATTATTGAGTTGTGAAAACTAATGTTTACTTGCTCATGTGACAAATACTTTTGAGGAATTAAAATCTTTGGGTGATATTACAGTGGTAAGGGAATATTCAGAAGTTCTTGATGATTAATGAAAATTACCTCCAATACGAGAGATTGATTTCACTATTAAACTCTTGCCAAGTTTTGAGCTAGTATCCAAAGCACTCTATAGAATGACAATTAAGGAGTTGCACGAGTTAAAAAATCAATTGCAGGAATTATTAGATAAAGGGTTCATCCGGCCTAGTACCTCACTTTGGAGAGCTCTAATATTATTGGTGAAGAAGAAAGATGGGAGCTTTAGAATGTGCATTGACTACAAAGAGTTAAATAAGCACACAATTAAAGACAAAGATTCATTATCAGTGATTGATGACTTGTTTGATCAATTGGAAGGAGTGTTTGTATTTTCAAAAA